AAAAAACTAAAGGGAAAAAACTAGACTTTGTCAAAATTAAAAACTTTTGGGCTCCAAAGTACACTATCAAGAAAGTGAAAAGACAAGCCACAGAATGGAATAAAATATTTGCAAATCAATATATAATGGTTTAGTATCCAGAATATATAAAAAACTTACAATTCAACAGTAAAGATAAACAAGTTTACAAACGGACAAAGGATTTGAACAGACATTACTCCAAAAGATATAAAACAGTCAATAAGCACACGGAAAGAGGCTCCACATCGTCAGTCATTAAGTAAATGCAAATCAAAACCTCAATGAGACATTTCACACACACTAGGATGACTAAAATTTAAAAAGAGAGTAATAAATGTTGCCAAGAATGAGGAGAAAATGGAACCCTCAAACACATGCTGGTGGAAATGCAAAATGGTGTAGCCACTTTGGAAAAGAGCCTGGCAGCTCCTCAAAAGGTTAAAAAGAATTACCACATGATCCAGCAATTCTATTCTTAGATATATACCCAAGAAAACTGAACACACGTTTGTACAAAAAAAACTTGAACATGAATGGTCAGAGCAGCATTCTTCATAACAGCCAGAATTTGGAATCAACTCAAATGTACATCAATGGATGAATGGATAAATAAATATAATATATCCATTCAGTCACAAAAAGGATACTGATACATGCTACAACATTGATACACTCTGAAAACATTATGCTAAGTGAAAGAAGTCAAACATAAAAGATCATATATTGTATTATTCAATTTGTATGAAATGTGCAGAAAATGCAAATTCAAGGAGACAGTAGATCAATGTTCGCCAGGAGTCATAGGAAGGGGGCATGAGGAGTGACTGCTAGTGGGTATGGTGTTTCTTTTTGGAATGATGAAAATGTTATGGGATTATATAGTGGTAATAGTTGTACAACTCTGTAAATATACTAAAACCATTGAATTGTACACTTTAAAAGAGTGAATTTTATGGTATATAAATTGTATCTCAATTTTTTTAAAAAGACAAATGGCTCACCTTAAAAAACTGATTTCCTCACTTCTATTTCAGGCCACCTAAGAGATTTCTAAAAATACAGAAATGTTTGCAATGATATTTGACATTTATAATTCTACCGCAACAAATACTATAATCAAATTTATTTTTAGCCAAATTATTTGCAGTTATCAGTTGATAGCCCAAATGTTATACCTATTCTTGCTTCTAAATAATAAAGATCTGAAAATTCCTCTGAGTTCATGATTTATCTCATAGTCTTTTTTTTTTTGAGACAAGAGTCTCACTCTGTCGCCCAGGCTGGAGTACAATGGTGCAATCTTGGCTCACTGTAACCTCTTCCTCCCACGTTGAGGTGGTTCTCTTGCCTCAGCCTCCCAAGTAGCTGGGACCACAGGCACCCACCACCACACCCAGCTAATTTTTGTATTTTTAGTAGAGATGGGGTTTCACCAGGTTGCCCAGGCTGGTCTCAAACACCTGACCTCAGGTAATCTACCCACTTCAGCCTCTCAAAGTGCTAGGATTACAGGCATGAGCCACCATGCCCAGCCTCAGTCATTTTTTTAAATTTATATTTTTCTGAAGTAACTGAAGCTAAAACAAAGTTTTCATTTAAGAAATTTTAGTAATATTGTCATCTAGAAACAGGTAAAATGCATTGCTCTTGAAATGATTATTATTTAGCACAGCCATCTTAAAGCAGTACTTTAAAATTTAATTCCTCTTCCTAGGACAACAAAAAAGTTAGGCAAGAAACAATTTTTCAATATTGGTATTCATATTAGTATGTTCTCATGCTGCTATAAAGAACTGCCCGAGAGTGGGTAATTTATAAAGGAAAGAGGTTTAATTGACTTACAGTTCCACAGGGCTGGACAGGCCTCATGAAACTTACAATCATGGTGGAATGGGAAGCAAACATGTCCTTCTTCACATGGCAGCAGGAAGAAGAAGTGCTAAGCAAAGGGGGGAAATCCCCTTATAAAACCATCAGATCTCATGGAACTCACCATCACAAGAACAGCATGAGGGTAACCGCTAGCATGATTAAATTACTGCCCACTGGGTCCCTCCCACAACACGTGGGGATTATGGAAACTATCAACACAATTCAATTTGGTGGGAACACAACCAAACCGTATCAGTATTACAATATAATATGTAAACCAGATACTTTAAACCATAAAACAAATTCAGATTTCCTTTCCCTTGGAATATAAATAGCACTATAGGGCTTAATCTATACAGTAATAAGAATTTAAGTGAAATGTTTTCAAAGCACTAAAAAAATATATACTCTTTATATTTGCCTATTATAACATTGTTTTGTGTATCTGGTTTTCCATATCAAAAGTCTGTAAACTTTGCATTAACACTATAATCTATCATAGAAGCTTTGGAAGCATTTGAAACAGAATCAAATAGTAATTCAAGTCTGATATTACTGGGTTGTTCTATACATAGTTAAATAAGAAGACTGATTCTCCCAAAAATCCAAGAGTAGGCCAGGCGTTGTGGCTCATGCCTGTAATCCCAGAACTTTGGGAGGCATAGGTGGGTGGATTGCTTGAGGTCAGAAGTTCGAGACCAGCCTGGCCAACATGGTGAAATCCTGTCTCTACTAAAAATACAAAAATTAGCCAGGTGTAGTGGTGCACACCTGCAGTCCCAGCTAGTTGGGAGGCTGAGGTAGGATAATCACTTGAACCCTGGAGGCAGAGGTTACAGTGAGCCGAAATCTCACCACTGCACCCTAGCCTGGGTGACTCTGTCTAAAAAAATAAAAAATAAAAAAAATAAATAAATAAACATCAAGGTCTGCCACGATTAAGCTACTTGCTAAAAAAGCATCAGTGGATTACAATAGGGCAACATGGTTTTCACTGCTTAAGTTCAATGAAAATTATATATATTGTTTTTACTCTTGAACACAGTGGTTTATACTATATCAGAGTGGTTAATCACAAGAAAGACACAAACACAGAAAGAAAAACCTTATCCAACTTCAGTATTATTTTAGTAGTAATGTATATAAAATCCAACCACTGCATGGGTGACCTTAGGAGGCAGCGAGCCTAAGAGACGAAAACATTTACACCTTTTAATTAAATTATACCGTCACCTGATAAAAGTGTGAGGGTCAACATTTGTTTTCCTAAAAACAGAGCACTTGGCCGGGCACAGTGGCTCATGCTTGTAATCCTAGCGCTTTGCGAGGCTGAGGTGGAGAGATCACAAGGTCAGGAGTTCAAGACCAGCCTGGCCAAGACAGTGAAACCTTATCTCTACTAAAAATACAAAAATTAGCTGGAGGTGGTGGCAGGTGCCTGCAATCCCAGCTACTCGGGAGGCTGAGGCAGGAGAATTGCTTGAACCCAGGAGGCAAAGGTTGCAGTGAGCCGAGATCGTGCCACTGCACTACTGCCTGCGCAACAGAGCTAGACTCCACCACACACACAAAAAAATAGAGCACTAAACAGTTTAATACAGAACCTAACTGATGGTTAAGATGTTTCTAAAATGTATGCAGAACTCTTAAGACTATATTGCACCAAGGAGTTCTTTTAAATTATGTATATTGAAATGATGGTGTTATACTTTAAATTAAAATGCAACAAAATCTTGATAAAACAAGATATAGGAGAAATAAAAATTGATTTCTGAACGAAATATGTATTACCTTACCCTCAAATGAATCACTGGGAAATATGAGCAGAAAACAGATATCCTGGCTGTGAAAACAACTGCATATTCAAATTGGAAGGAGTCACAGCACGTACACTTTTAAAAATAAGCTTCAAAAAATTGTTTTAACAGTTTTGTTTTCTTTTTTGGAGCATGTCTTTTCTAAATAATTCTCACTTATCATTCCAGAAAATATAACAGTTTGTAAGAACCCATGCAAAAATGTTTCTCTAAGGCCATGAATTGGTTTGCTAGGTTGCATTGTTTTATTCAAGTAAAAAGCCCTTCTAGAACAAGGAGTATGCAAAGAAAACCAATCACTTTCAACTCTTGGGCCTGTATACCTGCTGGAGCTCTAACACTCTGGAAGCCAAAAGATAGAATGCTCTTATGATCATTTGCAAAATGTTCTCTATTTACATTTTTAAAAATCTAATACATGTAAGTTTTTCTGGCAGATTCTTTTCGTATGTTACAAAACATCAAAAGCTCAGAGTAAGATAAGAATCGTTTTTCCTTAGAAAGGTCAAGCAGATACTTCTTGACATCATGTCCTTTACACAATGGCATATTGTTCATATAAAAGGTCTCTTATCCTATAAAAATCTTGACAAAGGCAGCCTTCTAATCCAATGCGTCCAGTTTCCGTCTAGAAACCAAATAAAAAAAATTCTTTAGTACATTTTCTATTCATTAATATGCAGACATAGTAACCGAAATAATATGGAATAGATTACTTTATGATTGGTCGGGACATGGGTTTCTCTGATTCACAGCATATGGATATAATATTGAAGTCATGAATTTTACATAGACACATAAATGTCAGAGGATTCAAATAATTAAAATTTACAATAAAATTATGTATCATTTCTTCAAGAGTCTTTCATAAGCCTTCAAGTCAATCAGCCTTTTGTAAACCTTCGAGGTCATCATCATGAATATAAATTACTGATCTTCAGTTTTGTGAAAATACCAGTCAAGAATTAGAGAATTTCAAAATGACAAAACATCAGAGGTATGTGTTCAAGTCAGCCCTTATTGAAACACACTTACTCGACGGACTGCTACTTGATTGTTGCAAACAAGTACACCTCCTACAAATTCAGCTTGAATTCCTTCCCGTAAAAGAACTTGTTTGAAGTCTGACAGTCTTGGTTCATTCATAAAAACTGACTGATGTCCGGGAACCTTAGGTAAGGTCAAAGGGGAAAGAATAACTTCAAGTAAAACACCAGACACACAACTGTACTGTAAAAAGTAAAATACTACATGATCTCTAAGAGATTTTCTATTTTTCTCTGAAGTCCTCTGACAGATCATTTCAAGACTGTAAATCACATTCCAAGTTGTTATTCTAAATTTTACCCCATTATTTAACATTACAAAGCCCTTCGCATTTTCTGTTTCACAATCAGTTTTATTAGTCATGCCTCATCATAACAGAGACATTTCATAATGTTATGCTTCACTCACCCACTTGCCTAAGGGGGTCAACTAGAGTGCCATGGGCAGGACTGAACCAAAAATTCATTTTCTAGATCCCAGTTGTTTGCTTACTTCAAAGGCCAGTTCCTCCCTAATCCCGTTTTCCCTGTCTCTCCCTCCTCAGAGCAAATGCAATGGATGCCACAGGTTCTACAATCAGCAAGGAAAGTGTTATTACCTAATGCTGCCGCTTTCTGCTTTGATAATACTTTGAAGAGCACTAACTTTAGCACAGAAGAAAAAAATATTCTAATTCCTCCTCCCAATTTTGAGGATTGTACTAGAAAGGAATCCGGCAACAGAGACTGTTTCTCTATTCTGAATTTCATAGTAGGGCTAAAGACATCACTTGACATGCATGTAGGATTCATAGCTTTAATATTTTCCCAAGTTTAATTACCTAGAGCCTTTGCTAATTAACTAGATATCTTTCAAGAATATGTAAATGCTAGACTAAATTATATCTAAACTTAATTAAAGGTTGCTAACTATATCAAAACCAAAAGTTATTTCAACTGAACGAACAACATTAAAAAATGGAGTACAACAGTATGACTTTCGGCTGGGTGCAGTGACTCACGCCTGTAATCCCAGCACTTTGGGAGGCCAAGGTGGGTGGATCACCTGAGGTCAGGAGTTCAAGACCAGCCTGATTAACATGGTGAAACCCCATCTCTACTAAGAATACAAAAACTAGCCGGGGATGGTGGCAGGTGCCTGTGATCCCAGCTACTCCAGAGGCTGAGGCAGGAGAATCGCTTGAACCTGGAAGTGGAGGTTGCAGTGAGCCGAGATTGCACCACTGCACTCCAGCCTGGGCAACAGAGCAAGACTCCTTCTCAAACAAACAAACAAACAAAATAGTATGACTCTCTTAGAAAACTATAAATCTCAGGTCGGGAGGGATTGCTCACGCCTGTAATCCCAGCACTTTGGGAGGCCGAGGCGGGTGGATCACAAGGTCAGAAGTTCGAGACCAGCCTGACCAACATGGTGAAACCCCATCTCTACTAAAAATACAAAAATTAGCCAGGTGTGGTGGCGCATGCCTGTAATCCCAGCTACTCGGGAGGCTGAGGCAGGAGAATTGCTTGAACCTGGGAGGCAGAGGTTGCAGTGAGCCGAGATCGCACCATTGCACTCCAGCCAGGGCAACAAGGGTGAAACTCTGTCTCAAAAAAAAAAAAGAAAAGAAAAGAAAACCATAAATATCCTGATTGGAAGCAGGCAGGTGATCCTCACAATCATCAAACTTAATATTTAAAAATTTATACCAAAAAAATCATGAAACAATTATGTACCTTAAAAGACTTGCTAAAGATATTTCATTCCTTAGCTGTATAGAATTGATATACAATTGATATATATACAAAGACATATACACAGAAACATGTCGCGAGTTCTTTTTAAAACTCCAAAATCAGCCTACATGTGAGACATATTTTATTTTCAAGACAGCGTCTCGCTCTATCGTACAGGCTGGATGCAGTAGCACAATCATGGCTCACTGTGGTCTTGCACTCCTGACATCAAGCAGTCCTCCTGCCTCAGCCTACTTAGCTGAGACTAAGGCGCCACACCACCATGCCCGGCTAGGTTTTTGCCATATTTCGTAGAGACAGGGTGTCACTGTGTTAATCAGGCTGATCTAGAGCTCCTGGCCTCAAGCAATTCTCCCACCTCAGCCTCCCCAAAGTGCTGGGATTACAGGCGTGAATCACTGCTCCCAGCTGACATGTATTTTAAACGGTTAAAAATATAAGCGGTTCCATAGACGCACTTAGTTTTGGAGTGGGGGAAAAAACCCAAAAGGCATGAAAACTAGAAGGATGACAAATTCAGGAAGAAATCAAAAAAGCACATGCTTTTTTTACCTCATGAGGTGGCAAGGGTTCCAAAGTAGGAATGATCTCACTTTCTTCACCTGTTTCTTTTTCATCATCTCCGAACAGACTTTTCATGGCCTTTTGTTGCGCTATAACGCTGGCATCTGAGGGAGCATCCACTTGCATTTCTGAGTCTTCTCCATCATCCTTTAGTTCTCCTTCTTCTAAAATAACCCCTGTGTCCACTTTGGAAACTCTCATATCTAAGACACCATCTATCCAAGCCAATTCAGCATCTTTTGCCTTACAAAACTGAAGAGAGCTGACAAGTGAGTCTTTTAATCTCACCTAGATATGCAAAGGAGAGGGAGAAAAATAAAACCCACAGAATACAGATTAACAACTTAAATATAACCTATTATCATGTTCTAACTGGTAATATATTAAAATTGGAAAATCTTTCACTCATCTGAGCCTCACAATGACCTGCAATGACCTCATTACCTATAGATCACTGGGCCCCAGTCTACTTTCCAAAACAGAGATTCTTAACCCTGACTACACAATGAAATCACACAGCAATTAAAACAATTAAATCAGGACCTCTAACATAACTGGTAAGATTAAGTCCAGAGCACTGAGTCCCTCTGACCCTCACAAAGCTCCCCAGATGATTCTCATGTGCAGTCAAGGTTGAGAACCACTGACCGGTCCCATCCTCTGGTACTTGGCATACTTCAGTAGTTACTGAACTGCTTGTCCTTTCCTGAATATACCATACTGTTTCACATCTCCATATTCTTGGAATGTTGCTTCCTCTTACTCTGCCCAGAATAAATTTCCTGTCTGGTATGTTCACAGCCATTTCTTCCAGATATAGACATCACTCCAGCCTTAAACTGACACCAGCTACCATCATCAGACAGAGTTCATCTCTGTACTGTGATAGTCCTCTATTTGGTGTCCATCTCCATTTGTTCCAGTTAGGAGTAGAACTCTGATATCTGGGAATTTTTCTAAAACTTTTGAATTCTTTTATTTTCCTCACCTTTGTACTTTTGCAAATATGGTTCCTTCTGCCTAGAATATTCTTCCCTGCTTTTCCTACTCTATCTGTTCTGGCAACCCATCTAAACATCACATAGGATTAGTTATCACTTTCTGCAGGAAACCCTTTCTAAACCTCTAAATGCAAGTGGTTTCCCCTCTTGATACTCTTATAGCATCCTATACTACTTCTCTCAGCAGCACGACAACATGATAAATGGTGTTTCCTTGTTCTAAGCCCCTTACCCTATCAAGTCTGAGAGGGCAGGAGACCATCCATGTCTGTCTCACACAACTCTGTATTTCTAATGTATCTGTCTTAACCTGCAACAAAAAGTACTTATTTCTACTCAATGGCAACTCCTGGCATGTTTACCTGGTAGATGTGAGTTTCACTAGTGGCATCAACGGTTTCATGTAGCTTTGGCATGTACACTTTAATATCTTTCCCACCAAAGGCACGACAGCACTCTGCCAGATCTTGACTGGCCTCTGGTGGGCCATGGACGATGATCAACTGTCGTGGTTTCATCTGATTAATGATTTTTTTAATGGAATCCCCATCAGAGCGTCCTTCATAGTCTATGTAGGTAACACGGGCTCTGTAATTAAATATGATTATTCAGTATTACTTTTCTCATAATTCTAAAAAAGATGGCTTTTATGATGTATACAATATATAAAACTAGGATTTGAGAAATACACGTTATATTATCTGCATTATTTATTTATTTTTATTTATTTTTTCTGAGATGGAGTCTCACTCTTTTGCCCAGGCTAGCGTGCAGTGGCATGATTTTGGCTCACTGCAACCTCTACCTGCTGGGTTCAAGCAATTCTCCTGCCTCGGCCTCCCAAGTAACTGGGATTATGGGCGTGCTCCACCATGCTGGGATAATTTTGAATTTTTAGTAGAGATGGAGTTTCACCATGTTGACTAGGCTGGCCTCAAACTCCTGATCTCAAGTGATCCACCTACCTTGGCCTAACAAAGTGCTGGGATTATAGGCGTGAGCCACCTCGCCCGGACCTACCTGTATTATTTAGAACTTATCCACACTCAAAAATATATACTAAATGATTTGTTCTCTGATGATTTAAAAAAGATTCCAAAATGATCACTTGCTGGTAATATTTAACTAAGTAGAAGGGGGAAAAAAGGTTTCTTAACTACTTCAGATCACAAGAGTATTTTCTAGACATTAGGGTACTACAGATGTTTAATTCCAGGAGTATACTTTATGAAACAAGCAATTACTCAGAAAAATTAAATTGTGAGTTACATACACTATTCCCTTTCACCTACTTACAGACTAAACAGGCCAGAAATAATATTTCTTCATATAAATGTACAATTTAATGTTACAATTTAAACACCCCACCCCCAGCATCACCAATTCAATTACTTTGGCATTCACATACCATTAATGAAGAGAAAATACCATGCCACCATACTTCACAAGTCTCTTCACACAAAAAGAAATGAAATTTTAAAAGCACAAACTTACTAAAGAATATTCAGAAATTTTGCTTAAAATAATGTAAATTACATAATTCAATTGCTTGAAATTTTATCTTATAATCTATTTTCAAAATGTCACAAAACCACTTACTTTATTTCAATAGACTCTGTTGTAGAAATACATTTAGTAGGAACATCAGATAAATCCTGATCCATGGGTTCATCTCCATTTGTCAAACCAGATTCTAATTTGCTTTTTTCTTCTTCAGTAGCTTGAAGCTCTGGCACCAAGAAATCCTCTGGTCTAAATAATAAGTCTCTAATTAGAAGTAGTAAAAACCAAGCTAATACTACATAACATATATAACTAACTAGTAGGTGGCATAATTTTTGGAGTCCTCATATATCTCAAGATTTAAATATACATTTGATCCAAAGCTGATGCTATTTCATAATATCAGTCACCAGGTAAGTGTATTTATTACGTTTTTTATAACCATGTACAAGTGTTCTTTAAAATACATTGTGTGGGCTAGTGAAAAGCACTAGCCCACACAATGGGCAGGTCATTAGATGCTCTTAGTGGCTATCACAAGTACTGTTGCAATCTGGTCCTGTTTTTTTTTCTAATTAAAGAGGCAAGGTCTCACAATGTTACCCAGGTTTGTAGTCTCGAAGTCCTGGGATCAAGCAATCCTCCTACCTTAGCCTCCCAAATAGCTGGGACTACAGGCACAAGCCACTGCAACCAGCCCTGTATACTTTTCAATTAATTTTCTTGATTTCTGTGGTTTCCTTTGCCAATTCCCAATACTTATAAATCTCAGAACTCCTCTCATGTCCTTAAGACCCCATTATTTCCTCTCTATCCAAAGAAAGTGGATACTTCTCCATTTCCACATTATCAAGAAAACCAAGACACAAAATCATTAGCTTCCTCCTAAGCCTTCATCTTGATTTAAATGTTCTATTAACACATCTATCTTTCCATATTTACTTCCAATATCAGAGTGTTCTACTTTTTAATATAACCACACTTTAACATCCTTTAGCCTCTTGTAATTGCCTTTGTTCCACTCACAAATCCACTCACACATTCCCCTCTGAAAATCCCAGCCTCTATTTCCCAAGACCCAGATTGCTGCAGCAGCTTCTTAGTCCCTGGAGTCCAGTATCTCCATGTGTAATCCACATAATAACAAGAGCAGTGGCAACCACTTAAAGCACATTTACCATGCATCAGGTTCTAGGCTAAGTACCTTAAAAACATGACCTCATTTAATTCTTATCCCCATTTTTTAGCTAAGGGAATTGAAGCTAAAGATTACTGTCCATATGTTAAACAGACTGGCCACTTAAGTGGAATGGTAAGCAAGCTCAATCAATGTTGTTATGTTTCCTCCCTATTGTTTCAGGGCCAAATAGACAGTGGATTTTTCTTTTTTCTTTTTTTTTGTTTTTAAGAGAGAGGGTCTCACTCTGTCACCCAGGCTATACAGTACAGTGGCACAATCGTAGGTCACTGCAGCCTCAAACTCCTGGGCTCAACTGATACTCCCATCTCAGCATCCCAAAGCAATGGTCTACAGGTGTGAGCCACCACGCTTGGCTGGAAATTTCCTAATTAAACCCAATAATGACCTAAATCCACTACACGCTCTAGAGGGCATTATAGGTGTACAAATACAAGAGAGGGAACTGATTGTGTTGGAAGACAGGAAAAGTTTCTAGTGGTTTCTGAGGCCAGATTCGGCACCTGGAAATCTGGGATGGAAGGTGAAACAGGGCTGAAGAAAAAACATGTGCAAAGGTATGACATAAAAAAACCAAGCAGAAGGAAAAAAAGAAACCAAGCAGAAGGAAACAGAGAAGGCTGATACCACCAGAGAGGAAACACACACTGAAATATACAGAAACATGATGGAAAACTAGGGAGGAACCAGATAGTGAAAAACATTGCATTATACATTTTACATTTACCAGGGAAATAAGACCTCTGAAAGACTTTTTTTTACCCAGGATGGCAGTGTTTTCAAATTTGCAATGACAACATCTGATTTCAGTTGTTTTTCTAACGCTAAGTACAGATTTTGTAGATTTTCCATGGTTCCACTCATACTATCTCATATTTCTCTTAATCTCAAAAAACCTGTATAATATTTAAGACATAATCCATTGGTAATGTGATACCAGCCACCCAAAGTTCTTTTACTTTTTTGAAGATAGAGATGGGGGTCTCACTATATTGCCAACTCCTGAGCTCAAGTGATCCTCCCATCTTGGCTTTCCAAAGTGTTAGGATCACAGGCATGAGCCACCACTTACAGTGCCAAAGTTCTTCCTATCCTACATCCTCCTCTCTTTTTAAGTGGGGAAAAAACGTCTTGATCACGTTTTTAAACTTTTTACACAACTAAGTAATAATACTGCCAGTTTTCTCTTAATATTCTCTAGACGTTCCTCAGCATCTCTATTTTTATGTTTCAAATTACAAGTCTTCTGCGTCTTCAGGCTGAGGTACTCAGAAATTAACCAAGTACATATGACTAGAGAGATCAAATCCACTGAACAGAAATAACACAGTTAACACCTCCAATTTGTAAGAGAGAAAAGTTTGTTTTGCTCACATACTTGATAATCTCTCCATATTCATCCCATTTAATTCTTTCTTCTGGGGCAGGAAACATAGGATAAGACTTTTTTGCCTGTTTGAAAAAACTTCCTTTACGACTGCCTTCACCTTTCATCATCAAGTCATGCTTCGTCTTATGAGCTGATGGCTGGTCAATATCTTCCTCAATGTCACTCTCATCACTGGAATCTATATCTGCCCTAGGAGGATTTTAGAATAGATCAAGGTCATAAAGTTTCAAAGCTATTTTAAATTAATATGTATAAATTTATTACTGAATCAATACTAAAATTCAATATTAACTCAAATGATAATATACAGTTATGTCACTCAACAACAATGGACCACACATACAACAGTGGTCTATAAGATTACTGTACCTTCTCTATGCTTAGATACATTTAGATACACAAATACTTAACACGGTGTTATAATGGCCTATAGTATTCAGTACAGTAACATGCTGTACAGGCTTGTAGCCTAGGAACAATGGGCCATATCACATACCCTGGATACATAGCAGGCTATACCATCCAGGTTTGTGTAAACACACATCCTAATGTTCACACAATGACTAAATCCCCTAACGACACTTTTCTCAGAACATATCCCCATCGTTAAGTGACGCATGACTGAAATAACATTCAATATTATTGGACTGACATTTTATAAAGCATAACAAATAAATGCATAATAATATTAGCACTGACAGCATCTGGTATACCAGCCATTTGAAAGATGCCTGGAACAAAATTAAGTCTTATGAAAATTTAAAAAATATTTTCAATGAAACATTTAAGTCAAAGACACATTATTCTCAAATTGCATCCATAAACTTATAATCGTCTGAAAATGACTCACTCTTTCGACTGCTCAAGCTTTTTAGCAGCTTCTTTCTTCAGTTTCTCTTTTTCCAAGTATTCCTCAAGTTCTTTCCCTTCAAGCTTCACACGTTTCCTCAGCTAAAGAAAAATAACAGACAAAAGGAAATGTTAATATCAGGGGTTAAAACAGTGGCCATCATCTTTAAACTGATTTTCCTCTGAAATTAATCAAGTTTCCATTACATGCAATTATAGGTCCTATTTAGATTAGTATTAAAATTGAGCTGTCACGCATCATCTAGGATGGGTTTGATTTAAATCAAACTGGTTGGCCAGGCACAGTAGCTCATACCTATTATATAATCCTAGCACTTTGGGAGGCCAAGAAGGGAGGACTCCTTGAGGTCAGGAGTTCAAGACCAGCCTGGGCAACACAGGTTGACTCTATGTATAATTTAAAAATTAGCTGGGAGGCTGGGCACAGTGGCTCACATTTATAATCCTAGTATTTTGCAAGGCAGGAAGATCACTTGAGTTTGAGATTAGCCTGGGCAATATACTAAGACTTCATCTCCACAAAAAGAAAAAAAAAAAAAAAAGGCCAGGTATGGTGTCATGCATCTGTAGTACCAGCTACTCAGGTGGCTAAAGTGGGAGGATCACTTGAGCCTGGGAGGTCAAGGCTGCAGGCCACTGCACTCCAGCCTGGGTGACGAAGTGAGACCGTGTCTCAGAGAAAAAAAAAAAAAAAAAAGCCAGGAGTGGTAGCACACACCTATTGTCCCAACTTCTCAGAAGGCTGAGTCTGAGGATCACTTGAGTCTGACAGAACAAGACATCAAACCGGTTAAAAATCACCAATCAGGAAAGGAAAATAAAGATACATATTTTTATAATTTGGAGTAGGTGAGGCCCAAAAGCCACAATGGGAAAGATAAATAAATGCAGCAACATGAATAAAGAAAATCTCCCTTTGACATTTTAAATCCATTAAATAAGAAACTGAAAAGAAAAAAAAGAAAAAGAAAAATATTTTCAGCACTATGACCAACAAAAACTATTTTTTCCTAAGAGCTCTTTTAAATTAGTTAAGAAAAACATAATCAACACATGAAAAAGGACAAAATACTTAAAAAGGCAATTTACAAAATAAGAAAGACAAATAACTAATGGCCATGAAAAGATACTTAATTTTACTAATTTTCAAAAAGTACAAAATATAAAAAACATAATTGTTTTAACCTATAAGATTGGCAATGACATACATGAGGAAAGAGTAACTTCCTCCATTGTCTGTGGGAAAATTGGTGCAACTATGTTAAAAGGCAATTTGCTAACATCTGAAAATAAAAATTTTCTTGTCATTTGACACAGTATTTCTACTCCTAGGAATTTATCCTACTGAAACAAGCATAAATGTGTAAAAAAAAAACAGTACAATAGTACATTGCAGCAATGTTTATAATAGTAAAAAAACTGGATAAAACTTTAAAATCCATCCAAATGGAATGATTAAATCAGTAGTTCTCATATATTTATCTCAGGACTGCCTTAGGCTCCTAAAAATTAGAGAGCCCCAAAGAGCTTTTTGTTTTTGTGGGTTATATTTATCAATGTTTACCTTATCAGAAATTAAAACTAAGCAATTTAAAAATATTTATCTGTTCATTATAAAATAACAAAGCTGGCTGGGTGCAGTGGCTCAAACCTGTAATCCTAGCACTTTGGGAGGCCGAGGCGGGTGGATCACCTGAGGTCAGGAGTTCGAGACCAGCCTGGCCAACAGAGTGAAACCCTGTCTCTACCAAAAATACAAAAAGCACCCAGGCATGGTGGCACGTGCCTGTAATCCCAGCTACTCAGGAAGCTGAGGCAGGAGAACCGCTGGAACCCAGGAGGCAGGGGCTGCAGTGAGATTGCGCCACTGCACTCCAGCCTGAGCGACAGAGCGAGACTCCGTCTCAAAAAATATACAAAAATAAATAAATAATACAAATAAAACCACATGGCAACATTAACAGATTCTTACAAAAAAAAAAATTACATTTTCCAAAGCAAAAAAAAGACGGTAAGAATGGTATTTTATTTTTTGGAGACAGGGTCTTGCTCTAATGCTCAAGCTGGAGTGCAGTGGTGCAATCATAGCTCACTGCAGCTCAATCTTCCAGGCTCAAGCAATCCTCCCACCTCACCCTTCTGAGTAGCTGGGACTACTACAAGCACCCACCACCACACCCAGCTAATTTTTGTATTTTGTGTGTGTATGTGGTAAAGATGGGATCTTGCCATGTTGCCCCAGCTGGTCTCAAACTCCTGGGGTCAAGCAATCTGCCCTCCTCAGCCTCCCAAAGTGCTGGGATTACAGGCATGAGCCATTGCACCTGGCCTGTAGGATGATTTTATATTTTTGCAAATCTCTTTAATGTCTAGCTCAACCAAAGACACCTGGATTCTCACATTTGCTTCTCCATTCACTCTCATGCAATATGTTGTTTTGGTTAAGGTATACGAAGAAAGTTCAGGCTTACAGACATGTATAGTTGGAAAGGGAAAAATATGTAATTAGTCCTTTCATGAATATTATTCTTTGATATTACATTAAAACTCAGAGAGTGGTTGTTTCCTAAAGATTAGTTTTAATGTAGAATCTGAAACCATACCGATAGACTTTCTGTACTCTGTTATGTTAGATTTTGTTTGATGCATCCACACTTTGTGGGTTTTTTTGTTTTTCTTTTTGAGATAGGGTCTCGCTCTGTTGCCTATGATAAGTACAGTCGTGTGACCACTGCTCACTGTAGCCTCAAATTCCCAGTTCAAGCAACCTTCCCACCTCCCAGCCTCTTGAATAACTGGGACCACAGATGTGCACCAACATACCCAGCTAATTTTTTATTTTTTGTAGAGACAAGGTCTTGCTATGTTATCCAGACTAGTCTTGAACTCCTGAACTCAAGCTATCCTCCTGCCTCAGCCTCCCAAAGTTCTCAGATTACAGGGGTGAGCCACTGTGCCTACCCTGTATCTTAAACTTTGAATGGATCTTTTAATTTGTACATTATTTTATGACATAATTAATTGGTTATTTGGAAAATACCAGTTCACCAAGTTATCCAGATCTTACAAACATTGACAATATTTTTTAAATCACATTTACAAATATCACCACCAATCTTACCAAAAGTCTTTTCAGTTTAAGTTGTCAATGTCAGTGCTGGGTATAAGTTTTCCAAAATTCTAATTTTCATTTGAAAGTTAGAATTTTATCAAATTTAAGCCAACGAATGCTGTCAATTGTTTTCTTTAGAGTGACAGGCTCAATTTATTAATTTTCAGGAAAATGTCTGCCAAACACCCAAATCTGAATAACCCTGTCATTATTTCACATAAAAATGGTGTTCCAGACTGGGCACAGTGGCTTATGCCAGTAATTCTAGCACCTTGAAAGCCGGAGGTGAGAGGATTGCTTGAACCCAGTTCAAGACCACTATGGGCAACATAGCAAGACCCAGTCTCTACAAAAAATAATTAAAAATTAGCCAGATGTGGTGAAACACACCCGTAGTCCTAGCTGATAGGAAGGCTGAGGCAAAAGGGTCACTTGAACCCAAAAGTTAAAGGATGCAGTGAGATATGATTGTGTCCCTGCACTCCGACTTGGGCAACAGAGACCCAAACTCAAAAAAACAAAAAAAGGTGTTCCCAGGAAAAAAGTGGCTAGTTTAACTCATGACTCAAATAAACATACAAATGTTTTTCTTGGAAACAGCCACTATGCTTTAGTACACAAGTTCTTTATTAATACTTCCCATCTTGCCACCCAAATTATTTTTTAAAATCTTTCACTAAAAGAACTTAGTAACTTTTATTACTTAGTAACTTTCACTACTCCCTTAAGGAAATTTTTTTTTCTTTTTTGTAGAGACAGGGTCTTGCTATGTTGCCCAGACTGGCCTCAGACTCCTAGCCTCAACCAACCCTCTCCCACCTCAGCCTCCCAAAGTGCTGGGATTACAAGCATAAGCTAGTACGTCTGGTCCCTCAAAGACATTCTCTTTAAAATTTCTTTTGTTTAATATACATTTATACTATGTAGAGACAGAGTCTCGCTATGTTGCCCAGACTAGGCTCAAGCGATCCTCTTGCCTCAGCGGCTGAGACTACAGCCACATGCCACCATACCTTGCTCCCAGCTTTTTTCAAAAACAAAAATAAAAACCAGATATTAGTATATCAATAAGAAAGAAAGAAAAAAAAAAACCAGAATATATATGCTTCAAAAATGTCAACAGTCATGATAATTAAATGCAGTATGTAGTCGTGACCTGGACAAAAAAGGTAAGGGTAATTATAAAGACATTGTGGTAATTGGTAAAAGGTGAATGTTGAAGGGGGTCAGTGGGTAAAATCGTAGTATGGTGTTTATTTCCTGATTTCAATAGATGTAAAATGGTTTTGCTGGAGATTGCCGTTGTTTTTAGGTAACACACACTGGCAATGTTTAGAGGTAATTATTAAATATTTGCATTTTTTTCTTCAATGGTTCAGAAAAAATAATATTGTGTCTATGGATATATAAGTGAAAAGCAAATCCATTAAAATGTTGACAGCTGGGGAATCTGAGTATAACATATTTGTAGCTTTCCTGTTAAGTTTGATTTTTTTTTCAAAATTGAAAGTAATGAAAAAAGGGGAATCTCTCTGAAACTATTCTGGTTCAGGGGCTGCCCAGTGGGGTAAGAGAAGGGGAGACAAGTAAAAACAAAAAAATCAAGCCAAAATCAGATGATTTTCATGTAGAAAATAAATAGGTGATTTATATGTTTAAGGCCAGGAGCAGTGGCTCACACCTATAATCCCAGCAATTTGGGAGACCAAGGTGGGAGAGCTGTTTGAGGCCAGTAGTTCAAGACTGGCCTTGGCAACACAGCAAGATCCCATCTCTATAATTATTATTTTTTTTAATTAGCTGGGCATAGTGTCACATGCCTGCAGTGCTTACTACCTGGGAAGCTAAAGCTGGAGGAGCACTTGAGTCCAGGAGTTCAAGACTGCAGTGAGCTATTATCATGCAACTGTACTCCAGCCTGGGTAACAGGGCATGACATGACCCTGTCTCAAAAAAAAAAAGTTAAAAT